ACTAACCAAGATTCTACAAATAGGTTTTTAGATTCATGTAGTCTAATGTATGAATTTATGTAGTGTCTTTGGCTGTAAAATTTCTCTTGTTGCAAATGATCTTTTGTATAGTTGATTTCAGCGGTCTGCAGGTATGGTCACCCCAGTAAACTGCTGTTTTTCTTTCTCTGGAAACTCTAGGGCAACCCTATCTATGGGCTAGGCTGGATCGTAAACCTAACAAACATGCTGAGAAAAAGTTTAAACGATTCTTGTATTCCTTGGAAGATTGCAAAGGTTTGTGAAGATTTCTTACTTCTCCCCCCCCCTACACACACACACACAATGTAAGTTAACCTAGTTTGAAAACCAGCTCTCATCTGATGCAGGAAATGTCAGTGATCATACTTGAATTTTTATGATGTCACTCTTCACTTCAAGAAAAATTTAAAGTAGAGTCAGCTGGGGAAGGAGATACCAAAAGCAGTGCAGTAGGTAAGGTAAGGGCTGGCATGGTATCACCAGTGGGTGGCAATGCCTGTGGGAACATTTACAGGTCTCCTGGGAGCATGGAGAGCTCAGGACCATATCTGAAATTCTTGTACACCAGTACATGCAGTATGAGAAACAAACAGCATGACTTGGAAGCATCGGTTAGCTCCCAGAGCTATGATATCATTGATATTATTGAGACTTGGTGGAATGAGTGGCACGATTCGAGTGCTGGAAGGGAGTGCTACAGGCTGTTCAGGAGGGATAGAGAGGGCAGGTGAGGTGGAGGTATCGCACTGTACATAAGGGAGAGGTTTGACTGTACAGTCCTTATGGTTAGTAGGTGATGCAGTTGAGGAGTAGGGGAATGGAAAACAAAGGAGATGTTGTAGAGAGGTGTCTACTTCTGATAGTCCAGCCAGGATGCAAGCAGCAATAAATTATTCCATAGGCACTTAGGAGACATTCCTGGATAGGTAGCCCTTGTCCTTGTGGGACATTGCAACTTCCCAGACATCAACTGGGAATATCATACTGCTGTGATGAGGTCTTGGAAATTCTTTAAGTTTGTAGGAGATAACTTCTTGTCACAGGCACTCAGTGAGCCAACTAGGAAAGATGCCCTCCTAGTCTTGCTGTCTGTGAATAGAGGACTCATGGGGGACATGATGGTAGGTGGCTGCCTTGGCCACAGTGATCATGTAATGGCTGAGTTTAAAATTTTCAGGGCAGTAAGTAAAAAGGACAGCAGAATTGCTACCTGGACTAGGCTATTCAGGGAGTTATTTAGCAGAGTATCTTGGGAATCTGCTTTTGAAGGATTAGGAGTCCACAAGTGCTGTTCAGTCTCTAAGAAGCACCTTTTAGAAGCATAGGAGCAGGTAATTCCACTGTGTTGTGAGTTAAGAAAGGGGGGCAGAAGACCAGCTTGTCTGAACAGGGAACACCTTGTGGAGCTCAAGAGGAAAAAGAAATCCTATGATCTCTGGAAGCAAGGTCAGGCTTTGCCGGAAGATTAGAGAGACATGGTTTGTATATGCAGGGAAAAGACATGAAGGGCCAAAGTTCCGTTAGAGTTAAAACTGGCCAGTGTTGTTTTAGATAACAAAAAGGGCTTTTTTATGTATGTTAGTAGCAAGAGGAGGTCTAAAGAAAACATTGGGCCACTTCTTGTTGAAGATGGTCTTCTGGGTAATAGGGATGAAGAAAAAGCAGAGGTATTCAATGCAGGTTTTGCTTCAGTCTTTAATAATACTGATAGACCTTGGGCTGCCTGGTCCTCTCAGACAGAATGACTTGCCATGTGTGGATGCTGAAATTGTAGGGGACCAGCTGTATCAGCTGGATGTTCACAAGTCCACGGGGTCTGATGGGATGCATCCCCTCAGGTGAAGGAGCTAGGGGATGTTACGCAGGACCCCTCTTGATCATCTGCCAAAAAGGTCTTGGGAGTTAGGAAGTCCCCACTGATTGGAATCTAGCCAGTGTTATTCCAGTCTAAAAGAGGGCATGAGGGAAGACCCAGGGAACTACAGACCTGTTAGTCTAATGTCGGTTGCAGGAAAAAGTATGGAGAAGATTATACTTGGTTCTATTGAAAGTCATTTAAAGAATAATGCAGTCATCCGGCACAGTCACATGGGTTTACAAAGGGAAAGTCCTGTTTAACTAATTAGGTATCCTTCCATGATAAGCTCACTCGCCTACTGGGTGAAGTAGGGTGGTGGATGTAGTTTTTTTGATACTGCCCCTCAAAGGATATTTCTGGATAGGTTGTCCAGTGGTGGGGGCTAAGAAGGTTCACAGTGTGCTGGGTGAACTAGCTGAAGGGCAGACCTCCGAGGGTTGTAGTGAATGGGACTGCATCTGGCTGGTGACTGGTCACCAGTGGTGGTCTTCAGGGCTCAATTCTAGGGCTAGTTCTGGTTGACAGCAGGCTCAATAGGAGTCAGCAGTGTGCCCTGGCAGCCCAGAGGGCAAAATGCATTCTGGGGTGCATCAAACCAGTATAACCAGCCACTCAAAAGAGGTGATTATCCTGCTATATTCAGTGTTGGTGGAGCCTCACCCTGAGCACTGTGTGCAGTTCTGGGCCCCAGAGTTTGAAAGGCATTAAGGACCTTGAATGCGTTCAGAGGAGGGCAACAAAGCTGGTAATAAGGCTGGAAGGAAGGTACTGTGAGGACTTTGGGCTTGTCTAGTTTGCAGAAAAAGAGGCTGAGGGGTGACCTTTTTTCTCTCTACAGCTTCCTGAGGAGGGGAAGTGGAGAGGGAGCCACCGTCTCATCCCCCTGAGATCCAGTTATAGGACCTGTGGGAATGGCTCAAAGCTGTGACAGGGAGATTTAGACATGAAGCTTTGCTTTACTAGGAGCATGGTCAAACACTGGAAGAGGCTTCCTAGAGAGGTGGTCGTTGTCCCAGGCCTGTTAAAGTTCAAAAGGCATTTTGACAATGCCCTTAACAACAACATGCTTTAAGTTTTGGTCAGCCCTGAACTGGTCAGGCAGTCGGGTTAGATGATTGTTGTGGGTCCTTTCCAAGTGAAATATTCTGTTCTGTTCTAATTTTTCTTGTTCCAATTTAAATATAATGTTGGCTATTTAGGTAGCTATTTTTTCATCTTAGTTTTGAACTTTTAAAGACTACTGTACTTTAATCTATCCTAATTGTAGACTGCTTGAGTATGCCAGATTTTGGTGCTTGTACAAAATAACTGGGACTACTGTCTGTAAAACAAGGTTTAGATAATGGTATTTTAATACTTGCACTGAAAGACAATCAAAACGTAGAACGGCTAGCAGTTTGCCAAGAACTAAATGTCATATTTATACATCTAGAATTTGTTTGGAACATTGAAGAGGATTTCAAGCCTGTTCCAGATACCTGGATTCCAGCAAAGGACATAGAGTTCTCTAATGGCAATCCCTTGCCTGATGAAAACGGACATATGCCAGGTGCTTATGATGCAGAATGGGTAAAATGGGTGGGGGAAATCCATTTTTGAAGTGAATTAGAATTAGTTGCAGAGTAAAAAGTAGTGGTTAACATATTCAGAAAAGAACTGGAATGTCATTCATTCACTATCATAACGGCTTTGTTCTTCTGGCACATTGAAAATAACTGCAGTTTGCTGTACAGTCTTAGAGGGGTTCAGCTGAAGGTATAGTTGTCCTGTTTGCCTTCCTCTGACATTTCTGAGATATGACAGTTTTTCTTGTTACTCTTTCTGTTTGTAGTTAATGGGGTGTTTTGTTGTTTTGGTTTTTAATGCATGTACAGTTCTACTATGTGTTAGATAACTTCAGGTATTTACTTTGGTAAAGTGAAATGTTTTCTTCTAGGTTGGGTGCCTGTGGAGAAAAATAGCAAGCAGTATTGCTGGCACTCATCTGTTGTAAATTATGAGGCTGAAATAGCGCTTGTATTGAAGCACCATGCTGACCCAGGGCTTCTGGAAATCAGCCCCGTGCCATTATCAGAAATTTTAGAACAAACATTGGAGCTTATTGGGACTAATATTAATGCAAATCCATATGGTAAGTTTGTATGGTCTTTTCTTAAATGCTTTTCTGTTTAGTGATATTTTTGAGTTAAACCGATGCTTTTTTGATTTTATTTCGTTTTATTTTTTAATTTTTTAAAAAAGTTTCAAGGTAGCAATGAAACCTTTTTAGAAAGGAAAGGGCTGGCTCAAAGAACACTCGCCTGAAAATGCTTGCCTCAGAAAGCTGAGTTGTCATGAGACAATTTATGTCTATTAAATCTCTTTTCACCTGTATGTTCTTTAGGAGTTACTACAGTGCTTTGTGCCAGTCTTTAGTTGTTTAAAATACTACTATTAAAATACTAAAATATTTTAAGATTGTTTGTTAGTGCCTTTTCTTGACTTTTTTTTTTTTACTTGCTTTTTTGATGCTCTTTAGTCTATTAAAGCAGACAATTAATGGGGTTTTTTTAAGTATGTAAAGTCGTAAGTTGCAATTTTTAAATTATAAAATATTATGAATGTTTTTTTAAGGAAATGTAATTTAAGCTAAATTTTGGTTGTGACTTCTCCATGAAAACGTTGCAACAACAAAAACAGGTATGAGCACAACTGATTTCTGAGCTTTGCTGTTAGGGTAACTTGCAAGGACAGATAGTAAAAAATAGTGGTACCTGGTCGAAGCATTTTCTCAGTATGTAAAGGAAGTGCAACACAAAGGTGTAATGGCTGTATTCTTAGATGGAGATTTATGTTGAACAGTCAATGAAGCAACAATGCAATTGTTAACAGCCTGGCTTAAGTATTAATCCATAGTCGTAAGAAAATATGCCAGATTTTCAGGAATGAAGATATTTGTGCTGTTGATAATGATCTGAAGCGTGAAGAATTTAGTGGATTTAAGGTTACTGAGGAGGTGACCACAAAGACAAAGCAGACAACTATAAATCTGTGACTTTTTTTTTTTTTATATAAATGTTACATGAGGAAGAAATAGCTACATTTGATACTTGAAGTAGGTATTTAACAGTTCTCTTAACTGTTGCAGTATCTACTACCTTTAACAGTGTTTTTAAGATAGCCATCATAACAAAAGTGAGGAAAATCTTAAACTAACACACTTAACTAGCAGGAAGCTTTTTTTTCCTCTAACGTAGGATTAGGAAGCAAGAAGCAGCCTCTACATCTTCTGGTGCCACATGGAGCTTTTGAAATAAAGAATCCGCCTCCTTTGAAACAAAATGATATACTGTCTTGGTTTGAAGGCTGCAGTGAGGGTAAAGTGGAAGGAATTGTGTGGCACTGCAATGATGGGTGTTTAATCAAGGTAAATACATAAGCAGGTATGTGGGAAGCACTGTAATAATTCATACTACTTCAATATTGTGAGGTATTCACTTCTTGTCTCGCTTCCCAAATTCTTTAGTAGTCATGTTCTCCTAGCAAGTCAGATGACAGTAGAATTAGTCAAGATTGTGAATTGCTACAGTGACAACATACTAAACTTTTTCATTATCTACATTATGCTAATAACTTAAAATAATTGAAAACAGTATTTTCTTGCCTCTCAGGATAGGAATCACTCAACATTTTAAAGCTTCATTTCTTTATCTTAGAAATTCCTTTCTCGTAATGTTGACTTATAGAAAAAGTATTGCTAATAAGAATGTAGGCTTTGATTAATTAGCAAGTTTGTATTATATCTGAAGCTCAGGAGGACAGTTTGGTTCTAGTTTGTCTTTTGTGGTTAGCTGTTACTCAGATAACTGCTTAACGGTTCTAAGTGCCCCAGTGCATAGGGTTCTAGAATCAAAGCACATGCACATACCCCCACCCCCCGCCCTGCACGTTGGGAACTGTTGGGTTGCCATATCAAAACCTCTAAACTGCTCTCATTTCTTTTTATTTTAGCTCCATCGCCATCATCTTGGCTTACGCTGGCCACTTGCAGAGACATACCTGAATTCTCAGCCTGTTGTAATTTCTTTTAATAGAGCTAAATATGACTGTGACTTTGAACCAAAGAGTTTGTTTCACCATTTTTTGAAGTTGGATGGTCAAAGATTTGACAGACTCAAAGATATCAAGTTTGATGCCTGAAATTATTTTTACAAGTTAATTGTCATATGCGCTGCATCCTTTTACTTGTGTCTACCACAGAACTTTTTACAAATAATCTTCTATCTCAGGCAACAGCCTAGGTAACTGTACAATGTTAAGTTTTTCCTAAGTGACTGATTTTATGTAATGAGAGATCCAACATCCAGAGCAGAGATCTAGGTTTCAGCATGTTCATTTTCAGCTTGGAAAAATCCTTAACTTTTGAATCCATTTCTGGAAACTGTTACAATTAAGTGGAAGAAGCATGCTGTCTAACACTGGCTGGTCCTAATAGCTTAGCGAATGAGTGCCATCAATTGTTGCTCTAGGTTGCACTTCTGTAAATATTATTATGATGCTGTTCTATCTTGTAGGATCTGTTGATCTTGTTTCTTAACAGTAAAGTATGTGTATCAGGTGAGACACCATAACATTGCCTTTTTTTTTTTTCCTAAGTTATAACAATTTCTTTTAGGGGAAAACTTTTCACTAGTATTTAACTGGTAAGCTGCAGCATTATACTGTTACTCAAAAAACTACTTAAGCTATATGCTACAGGTATGTCCACTATTTTGAGACAAAAAGAGTAAAAGAAAGTATACTGCTTCTATTTTGGAGATCCTTAGTAATTTGAGATACGACTTGGCTTAACAATACCCATTTTCAGACTGCATCTCAATTAGGAAACTTCATTAAGGGCATAAGATGGCATATAAGTAATAAAGGTGAGACTGCATGATCATTTTGAGCTGGCTTTATTTTATCTATGCTATAAAAGTATACATCCAGCTATATAAAATATACAAAATGAAAAATTATTTAAATACCAAAACACTATTAGATTGGTTGAAATACTAGTGTAACTTTATTTTCAATTCTTTGTTCTTGGATTTTCTAAAATTGAGGTAAAAATCATCAGGGATGTAAGAACACACATCCAGCACACTGACCCTGAGTCCACAGTTAAGAAGGAATGAATTACATGTTCTTATTTCTCTGGAACTTAGCATACTTAGCACATTTTAAGAGTTTCTTGACTTATCCTGTAAGTCCAAGGTTTCAGCTTTACCTGACACCTATGTATTACCCCAGTTACTGTTCTGAATTAACATATAGTACTGCAAAGGGGTTGGGAGAGGTAAAACTCATTTTTGACTGGTATATATAAATACTGATCATAATCTGTTGACTAATCGAATTCTGTGCTCTTGGGTACATGTCAAACTATTGTAATTTTAATAGACTTGTATTATTCCAAGATAAAAACCAGACAAAATAAATCAGTATTATGTCACTGCCCCAGAACTTATTTACTGTATCAATACTGAGGACACTAAACACTAGTTTAATCAACAGAAATGTTGCCTGGACTAGCCCCTTGGATGCCAAATTCTTCAGAAAGCTGCTTTAGTTTCTCTTCTAAGATAATATTTTTTTTAACTTCTTCATTGTAGTTATATTTCAGATCTTCAATTTCTTCAAAAAAGGAAGGGCCACAGTTTTCTAGTTCTCTTCTCAGCTTTTTTGTTTCTTCCTATTAAAAAGAATGAAGGAATACCATCTTTATCTGGAACTTGGGAAATATATGTCAACAATAGCCCTTTTTTTTTTTTTTTTTCTCTTTTTTCTTAAGTGGTAAATGATGAGATAACCATGTTCTCTAGAGACACAAACATCTACCCATGAACAGCACATTCACTAAACCCAAAATGGGCTTCATAAACATAATGCTCAGAAATTGACTTTACCATTAAATATTAGTTTAGATATTAAACTGCTCCTTCTAGCTAACCATAATTTTGCTCATTGTCTTGTCTAGGATGATCCTTGCAACTCACCCTTAATTGCTGTTTTTCCAACTCAGAGGCTTTCAGCTGTGTCTGGAGGTCAGCTACTTCCCTTAACCTGTCTTTTTTATTCTTCTCTAAAATATCATTATGTCCTGCAAAAATAATGGTAATTTGTTACAAAATTCAAGGTAATGAAGAACAATGACATGAATAATCTTGTCACAGTAATTCTGCATCCTCTGAACGCTGGAGCAGTTTGTAACAGAGTGTAAACCCAAAAGGGATCAACAACCACCAAAAATTCAGGTCACCTGGGCTTTTCTTTAGTTTATGTACAAATTAAGTGAGAATATATATATATATGTGTATGTATATATATATATATGTATGTGTGTGTGTGTATATATATATATGTGTATGTAAATGTCCTGCATTCAGTTTCTCTGAATTAAATGTTCAAAATAGTAAAAATCTCCACAGTTAATTAACACTTCTCTTCAAAAACCTTGTGTTAGTAACTCAAAAATCCAAGACCTTAGTCTGCTCCAGTATTAATGTAATTCAAGTAAGTCTGTAGATTTATTATCATTTTGAACATACATTTTAAGCAAAAATAGTTTTAGGCCCCAAATACAGGAAGATCATCATTTTAGGTATTGAAAAAGTTTACCAGCTGCAGGAACTTCACTTGTACATGTGTGCATGTGGTGCTTATAATCCTCCACCTGGTGAGCTAGTTCTGCTTTGTCTTTCTCTAATTGGTTATTAGTTAATCTGGAATATAAAAATTTTTTTAAAAACTATTAAAATATTTTAGAATAAAAAATATGTAATTAAAAATCACAATGACCATTTCCTGATTATTCTCATTTCATGTACATTGGATGAATTATGTAGTTATTTAAAAGTACATTACCTTAAAAGCTGAAGCTCCCTGAAAAGGCTTTGCTCTGTCCTTGTACCTTCAGGAAACTCTTTGAGAAGCTCAATCTTAAAAGAAAAAATAAGAAAGTTTTACTCCTGAAACAGTATCCACAGACTGTGGTTCAGATGGAGTTCTCTTTGGTTCAGGTTAAAAAAAATGAATGAAAATAATACTAAGGATGTAACCAAGTACTAGATTATCACAGTGTTCATCTACTGACAGTTTTCACAAACCTAATTATCTACAGATAATTAGGTTTGTGGAAATAAATAATCCTCTACAAGTGCCTTTGAGTAGAGGATGCAGGAGCAAAAAATCAGTGTTTTCAATATAAGATTATATATTTGAATGCAGTAACAATTTATGAACTCTCTTAAGACTAGTGTTAGTCTTTTGTTCTGTTACTAATTAAAATAGGATTTGGGTTTTTTTTCCCCACAATCAATCTCTTGCTTCTTTGTAATGTAGTTACCCTTGACCACATCCCTTCATCAGTATTTAAGACACAAAAGAAACTGGGAAGTGTGTTGCTCCAGAGTAGTATCCCATAATGAAATACTTTTATCTCTGTGTTAATTTTGATGCTTGTGTACACTTCCTGTTAATAATACTGACTTTAGAAAAGGGAAAATAAGCACAAATTACAAAGTAATTGTTTTATAGGACTCAATTCTATTTATTGAACACATTTATTTGGCTACATAAAATATACAACTTTCTACATTGAAAGTTATGTGTTTGATAACCTTACACCGAGAATGGCCAGTACAAAATGCCTGGGGAAGAAAACCATGCACGTATTAAATAAATACAAAGATGGAAGCTAATCTAGGCGGATAGTCCTAGGGCTACATCTGCGGAGTACTTAAAGGCCAAAGTTTGATACGTCTTTTCAAAGGTACCAGAGTTTAAAATTTAATCAACTCTTCCGTGTGTGAAATAATATTTGTAAGACTTACTAGGGACTGCATATACAGAGGCCATATTGGAAATAGGCATGAAGATCCCCTTTAGGATGGCAGAGTTCACTAATCCCCCCAAAAAAGACCTGGAAGGAAGAGGCAAGTTCCTGCAGCAAACTCAACTCTGCAGAACAAGCTAAAAAGATTTTATTTGAGGCATCTGTACCGACAGGCTTTCGTGCGATCAACGAAACTATAATAATAAAAACCTGTGGAAGAATATAATAGAAAAAAAAAATAATCCCCTAAAACTGCAAGTCAAAAATATGTATCGATAATCTGTGGTAACCTCATTAATGGCTAAAACATGTATATGTACAATTACAGCAACTAGGACTGCAAAAAACCTAACATAAAAACATGTATTAGAGAAAAAAAAAGTGAACTCTGCCAATATAGATATTAGAAAGAAATTAATTAATATTAAGCAATCTATTTTCAGAGTCATCTGTTTTACTCACTTGTTTTACTCACTCAAAAGTTTTACTCACTTGTTCTTTTAGATCTTGTAAGTTTTTATCAGCATTCTGTTCACGTTCTGTTGCTTCCTGGAGCAGCCATTTAAGGTCAGTAATGCTTTGGTTTTTTCTAGCAATATCCATTTCCATTTCCTTTATTTTAGCTTCGTGCATCCTGGTGGTATTTTTATTTAGAAAAAGATGAGAGCAAAAGCTAATACTTTTGCAGAAACAGAGATTAAAATATCTGTAGGAGATTAAATGCCATAAAATATAACCTAAAATATGTTTGGCATTGGTCTGGGAAATAATCACTGGTCTTAAAAATAAGTGAGCTGAAAAAAGCATAAAGAAAAATACATTTTTAATCTTAGATTGAAGGCTTTTCCAAATGTTACACCTTTATGGATCTTACTTTGTGTCTACACTTTATTAACGGGGGACTGGAATCTTTTTATTGTATTACAAGTAAACCCCAAACTACCTCCTGCTAAAAACATGTACATCTCTTATTGATACAACATGCACATCGATTGGGTCTTACTTCATGTCATACCTTTGGCTGTAGTTTTCTTATGATTTAATAAGATGATTTCTTATGATTTATTGGGAAATAAATTAATGTACTGAGAAAGGGGCAATACAGATACAGATGAAGACTCCAAAGACAAAAGCATTCTGAAAGAAATTCCATTTACTCTGGAGTAACAGCAGTTGGAGGAGGATTCTGTTTTGCTTTGAGCCATACAAGGCTACAAAAACGTTTTTGCAGAATCACTGGAATTTGGCTGGAAGGTACCTCTGGAGATCACATAGTCCAATCTCGTCTGAAGTGGGTTTTCAGATAGCAATATGATCCACATCTTGCTACCTGCCAAAGTGCCTTCCAGAGGATCACTTGGATGACTCCACTGTTTCCCCTATCAAACACTTTCTACTACCACATGCATACTTCTGAAGATTTGCTGGTGAGGTGGACTGTGTGTTGAAGTGCCCTGCTGATCTCCTTTAGGTTGGTAATGTCTTAACCTCAGTCACTTACTTTAAAATCATCTTAAAGTAAATGCAAATAAAAGTTTATTCACACCACTTGAAATAGAGAAGTACAATTAAGCACAACCATGTATTTTATATCTATCTATCCCTATCCAAAACTATGTTATCTATATCAACTAAACAGAGCTAAGTAGAAATGTTTTTCAAAGAGGTGAAGAACTTAAAGAAAAACTTATCTTCAAACTACTGAGCTGATGTGCTAGCTATTAAGGGCCTACCGTCTTCACTGCATGTTCCTGTCTTCCTCCTCCAGTGGCTGGCAGCCAGTTTTGCCTGCCTTTCTTGTGCTAAATACGGCTGTCACTGACCTCGCATAGAGACATTTTACCTTGCTACATGGTTAGGGGGAAGGTTAAAAAAAGGAACAGCTTTCTGAAGTCTCAGAGAAGTGAAATGGCTCAGCAGCATGGCAGAGAAGCACTAGATCTCCCGCAAGGGATCCTGTGACAAGACTGGGCATCAGCAGAAAGATTGTTAACAGTGGTCTGACCTAGGACAAAATCAGACAAGCCTCTCTCCTGTCCAGCTGATTTTCTACCTTGATAATGTAGCTGTCGGAGGTTCTGGTTTTGTAGATAACTTCCACTTCTGTATTAGAGAGTACTTTTGCAACATGTCATCTTATGTCATCCCAAGGCCATCCAGGAGTCACTAAATGTTTCTTCCTCCCAGATTTGTTCTCTTCCATCCTTATGCAGGATGCAGGCTGTTTATTTCTTTTAATAATGTATGCATTGTCCTGTTTTCTTGTCCTTTTCTGAGTTACAGCAGTACAAGAGATAATATCGGGTTAAAAATTCTTGCCTCAAGAGGGGTAAAATTCTCCTTCCTCATCCACTTTGATGAATCACAGGTGTATTTCCTGTGAATATATCTTCTATCTATCTTCATATTCTATATCACAGTAGTGGGACATATAACTAGCATGTCTGTGTGCAGCTCATTACCAAAAACAGGTGTTAACAGCAATGGTTCGGGGGTGACTGTTTGCCAAAATCGTTTTTGTAAGCAAAGCACAAACCACAGAATTAACAGCTTGCTTCTAGCAAAGGAATATATGCCATTAAAGTTGTGCAGGCTGTAGAGTTAAGATCTCTAGCCCATATAGAAAGCTGTCGTAGAAAAAGCAACTGAACTAGTCATGGAAGTACAGACAAATAAAAAACAAAACAAAACAAATGTATGTCTAGGTTGCAAAGAAGAAATTGGCATCATAAACCAGCTTGCTTTATTTTGTTCCACACTGAGTGATGCAAGTGATACTTTTAAAACGACTGATAGGTAACTTGCAGATAACTTATTGGTAGAGTACAGACATTTACTATTATAACCAAACAAAAAATGATTTTTTTCTGCTGATTTCAAAGTCTTAAGTTTTATCTAAAAATCTGGAAATGGCGATTCCACACTTCATTTAATGTATCTAAAAAGATAATGCAGTGCCAGTCTGTGAGTTATTCTCCCTTCTTCTACAGGTAACAGAACCAACTGGCTGACTGCAATTAGCTTTCAGGGCCTTCAGAACACACACAAGGGAGCATCAGCTATGCCTACATGCCCCAAGGAATATAGAAATCCATTGTGTTTCCCAACACAACCTCTTCACATTCACATGGTTAAACCTAGATTAAAATCCAGCCACGATGGAAAACACATGTTCCTGGCTTACAGTTTTTGTTTCAGATTCTATGATCCACATGCTAAAGTACTGAAATACTTTCTAAGCTCAGAAAAAATGCTGATATTCCACAAAGCACAAATACAATACATTTAAGCGGCAAGGAACACAAAATACTTCCTTTACCAAAACTATCCACAAGCCTACAGCTAATCTGAGGAAGGGAGATAAGTAACTGGCTACTGTATAGAAGCAGCTGTCAAAGCCAGTATTTAAGGAAACTAGATCTCTGCTAGACCTTTATACTGATTCTACATACTGATACATAATCAGAAAATAAATTATGGATAAATTAAACTATCTTCAAAAGAGGACAGAAAAAGTATGAAAATTCAAGTCTACTTTGTTTGCTAGTATTTAAAGATAAATTATCTTCCTTACTTCATTCTCAATTCCTACCTTGTTACAATGGACTTCCAGCTTTTGCTATCAGCTCCATCAGTTTGCCTCTCAGCCAAATTTAGCCTCTTAATGGTTTCCTCCAGCTGTACTGTTAAGTTCTCATTTAATATCTCCAAGTTATTCTTTGCTATTCGTAGCTTCTCTCCATTGTCAGCTTCCTATTGTTCAATAAAAACAAAGGTTTATGGAATACTTAACCTAACGAAGCTCTGGATTATCTGAAAAGATGGTGAGATGGGGTCAGTGCTGATACAGAGGAAAACTGCCTCCAAGATCACTACTGCTGTAACTTCCAAATTCTGTCTTGAGCTGCTCCTTGGATGTCTCCTCTCCACATATAATTAAGAATCCTATCATAGCAATATCAGTTCTTAGAAAAGTGTCCATTCCATATCAGCCATTAAAAAAAAAAATACACACTTACCACAACCAGTAACTAATGGAAATCAAGGGATGCATTACAATGATCATACCTTTTTCAGTTCTTTACGCAGCCTCTCGTTTTCAGTAATGACTTTTTCCATTCCTTTGGTTTTAGATTCATGACGCATACTCAGCTGGTCCCCCACGTGAAGTTTCATCTTTTCCATTTCAGACTAAGTATCAAACAGTTCGTTAAAACACATATAATACATTGGTTAGTAAAAATTTCAGATCTCCATTTTTAAAGCATGGCATAGTTACAGCTACCTAGAACAGCGAACCTCACATTTAATCATGTATTTAAATGGATCCTTAAGGTGCAGAGTGCCATTACGTAAAACATGCAGCATGTTATACTAAAATGAAGTTCTGCTTTTCTGTTCTACAGGTTTCATATTTGATATTTTTAAAACACTTTTCTGCCGATCAGTAACAGGCCTGCTGTTCCCATCGTCCTACTAGCTTGCATACTAAACCGCTATATAAATATAGATGGTGGAGAGATATCAGTACCTTTAGCCTCTCATTTTCCTGTTCAAGACCAAGTAATTTTTCATTAGAAACCACAGCTGGAGTTTTTTTCAGATCCTTATTTTCTCTTTGGACTTTCTCTACAACCTTTTTCATCAAACCAATTGTTTTTTCCAATTCTGCGACTGTCTTTCCACTTCTACCAACCTATACAGAGGGAAGGAAAAAAAGAAATAAAATCATAGGAAGTAAACAGTTCATCTTAACATTATGAGATATTCAGAATCTTATTTTATCACTTATTTCCCCACTGCAATGTATATTTATAAAAAAGATGTTATATTTTGGTGTGAATTGAACCCTAAAGTTTCTTGCATACTCGGCTCCCCAAAGTCAACACAGCAGCTCGTTCATTTTCTGTGTTACTCAAGAAGGCTGCAGTTAGTCTCAAAATCTGCTGTACTTTATGAACTAGACCGAAACATGAGGAAAATAAATCAAAATACCACGTAGAGCAATTCCCTCATCCAATGGACCATGCAATTACTTGAATGCTAATACTGTCTGAGGGAAAAAACTTCTGCTGTATTAAAGTGACAAGAACAACTACAACTTAAAGCATGAGTAAATCTCGCTTTCTCTAGGCATATATTCTCCTTGCAGAGTGGTAAATAAATATGTAGGGGAAAAAAAGCTTGTAATTTCTCTATTTTTCTTCTTTCTCTACATTCTTTTATGAGGTAGGAAAGCTGTTAGAAGGTCTTGACATGCATTTATTTTCTCATCATCTTTGTAGTGACTGTTTTCCTCAGCAATTATAATGTAAAGATGCTGCTGTTCCTTGTTCTGGCCCCAGGTATCTCCTTTCTACAGAGGTACGGAGCACAGTATTGTGGAAACTGGGGAGGATTTTACTCCCTGGAGTAAAAAATACACAGCAACGAAATTTTGAAAGTAGAAATGACCTATTCTTTCTTCTTTAAAATGACTGGAGAGATTAGGAGGGTTATGTGGGAACACAGCAGAGTTATAAGAAAAACTTCTGCCAGATCTTGGTGCCTGAAAGGGAGGAAGATTAAGAATTTGCTGCCTCCTCAGACCCTTTGCATGAAACAGTTTTATAAACTGAATTTCCTTATCCAAACTCTACCACTGTGTAAGAGATAGATAGGCAGATAGATACACAAGCAGTCCATGCAAGGTACAAGTAAAAGAATGGGAAATACACAATGTTTTCCAAGTACCCAGAAGTAGAACTCAATTCTCCTTGTATATTGAAAGAGCTTCAAAGGCACTTAAGCGCTTTTAAGTCAGCTTCCTTTAAAAGGTCACACAGATAGTTTGACAAGTCAGTGGCAAGGGAGATACTGGGAACTGCTGAAGCCTTTTTTACCTGATTTCTGAAATACTGCTCTATTAAAGTAGTTGACAAGAGCTAAGGTAGAATTTAATCGCATCGTCTTGCATAATACATCAAACAAAACACTTCACTAACAATAACTTAGGCTTTCTAACATCTTTATCAAATCAAAATCCTGTCTTTTAAATAAAAGCTAATGGTATTACGCACTTACATAAATACATTAATATAATTTCAATATTAGGGCTTTAACTCCTGGGTTTTTGTACAAATATGATTCTGAAGATAACTTTAATCCAAAAATCAAAATAAGGCCATGACAGTGCAACTATTTAATAGTGTAGCTCTAGTCTTTCTAATGGTCCCATTAACTGAATTTCATTATTACAACATTTTGGCAATAAAAACCAAGTAAGAACAATTCCTCTTTGTTTGGTTGCTTCCAAACAATTTAGCTTTAATAAAACATTGCCTTTTTTTGTATTTTGGTTTCATTTCATTACCATGAAAAATGCTGTTACAATACTCACCCCTCTAATGCTGCCCAGCTTTCGTTCAACATCTGCTTTCTCTTTTTTGAGAAGTTCACACATTTCTTTCAAGTCACCTACTTGGTCCTATAAAAAACAAATAATGAACTTATTTTGATTTCAAACTAAGTGAATAGTAAAAGAATTACAGAATCGGTTTACTTAAAAAAAAAAAATAAATGTAAAGACAAATCAATTTCCCATCGCAATGGCACTTTTCATAATCTCTACCAGCCATTCAACTTTCTCATCTTCCATAAAACCATGAAAAACTTAACAGTATGTACAGAAAAGATATCAATTTCTTTTTAAGCAATCCCCTAACTTTTTTCAGGGTAAAGGGGGCTAAAGGTAAAAAGATGTTACCTTTAGTCTTGGCAAATCTTTATTGGCCTGCTCTAGCTGGAACCTTAGCTCAACGTTTTCAGATGACAATCTTAAATTTTCCTTTAAAACCTCTTGTTCTCTTTGATATTGATCAGCTGATCCCATTCCTGATGTCTTGAGAAAACAGAGAAAAAATTATTAAGTGGTAATGCACTAGTCATTGTATCAGCTGTAGCTGATAAAAAGCAACAGAGAATTATCATTTTTCACAGAAATAAAACAGATGACAGTTGTATTTTGATCTAATTTGCCCTGACTTTAACTCTTTCTCTCACATCTTCTAAACTTCCTTAACCTTTAAGCTTTACAAAGCTAAGTGCTTTACAAACCAGTACAAGCCACTAAAAATTTTGTAAAATTAACTCTCAAACTACTGGGTAGAAATAAATCTCAAAGTCTAAAAGACAAAAAAGCTACTGAGTGTAGAAAGCTGTGACACTGTACAGCATCTAATTCTAATGATATATTCTGACACGTTCATTAAATAGTACATATGGCATAAGGAATTTCACTTACGTCAAACAGGTCACAGAGCAAGTCAGGAAGAGTACATCACTCTAGTCTGTTAGTTCCTACAAACTTAAATCTTTATCCAGGGAGGCTAGTAATTTCTATTACATAAAGAGTGTTTTGCATGCCTTACATTGCCAATTCAAATCAAAAGTATATGGTAAATTATTACACCTGACTAGTAAAGAGTAAAAATCTTTGATGGTATAATGATCAGCAGGTTTTGATTATGGAATTAATTAACCATATGATCAATTAATTATTCAATAGTAATAATACTAGGCACAAAGGATATGGTGCATTAAAGCATATTTTTTTCTTAGTGCAAGTAATAATACATCATAAGTCTCTTAAAGAATGAAGGTCATCAACTAGCTGCAGGTATCATTGACAGTATTTGCAAACTTTCTGGATCGAAATTTTAGAGTTAACAGTAGTTTACACGTGAGCTGACACACTGCCTACCATGCAAGTAAGAGGTTTGCTTTATGGACCCCTTGGTGACTACTTTAATATGCCTGCAGAGGATACATAGGAAAGCACTGCATTATCTAGATCAAACAATTCTATTTCTACATCATTTATACAGAAGAAATGCTAGCGGACTGCTACAGTATCAAACCTCAGGCATTTCACAAAGTTCTGGGGTTGTTTCAAGCCCCTCTGTACCACTTCGGTAAATTTCATGTTTATCCTCTGCAGGGTGTTCATTCATTTCATTATTCACATTTAATTTTAATGCTTCATAGTCATTAGCCTGATTAGAAGGTTCCCCTGCATCAGACTGATTGCAGCTTATTCTGTCAGTATCAGCCTCTTTTACACTTTCATCACCAGCAGCATTTGATTGCTTCAGTATTTCTTGTTTCCTCTCCTCTTCTTCAAATTCCTCATTAAGTTTTCCGTTTTCAGGTTGAGTTATATTTTCTTCTTTTTCACTGCACATCTCTTCATCAGCTTCAGCTACATTTTTGTTTTTCAATCCTTCCCTAGAAATATCTGTGTCCTTGCATTTCTCACTATCTTCAGGATGCTCTTCAGGAGGCATGTCTGTGCTTGCATCCGCAGTAGCCTCAGGCCCTTCATTTGGCATGATGCATGTTTGCATGTCTGCTTTGTCATCTATTTCATTGTCATCAATAATGCTATGATTAGTCAGATGTTTGATTTCATTCCTACTTGAAACAAATTGCTTTTGAAGGGAATTCAAATACTTTTGTTTACTGATACTTAAAGGAACAGACTTGGACAGTTCAGTTTGGTCACCTGTACTCTGATGCAAGTTGAAGATAGAAAGAAGCATGAAAGAAAAGCAGAAGACAGTAAAACAAAACAGGAAATAAAGAAACCTAGAACGTACTGGTAAAGTTATTTCTTGAAAGATTACAATAACTTAATAATGCAATATTTGCAATATAATGAACCTTGTAAAAATCAAAACACAACAAAAACAAGTAATGTAACTGAAATGCAGCTCAGTACTTCCCCAAACTCTGTGTATCCCAAATTTTCCATCAATATGGAATATGAAAGTAGTCTCTCAGTTGCAGACTCACATATTTAAAAATACATATCCCTTATTTCTCCACATATGTTAGGATGCTGAATATTTCAACTTTTAAATGTAGAACATGGAAACTGTAAGTTTTGAGGTGTGGGGATGGGGTTGTTTTGTTGTGTTTTTTAAAAATACTAAAAACTGAGTATTTCATATCCTGTTCTAGAATACTATAATTTGAAATAAAACCAGCTAAGTGACACAGAATACCAAATGGGTAACAAATATTTTTGTTAAATAGGTGCAATACTTCTAGGCAATATGGTTACAATATTAACTTACTGATGGTCTAGAATATGCCTCTCTTGAACATTGTCTCTGCAATGCATGAAGCTTTTCCTGGAGGTATTGATTTTTGAAATGTAATTCTTCTACAACAGGATCTCGTGGGATTGCTTGCTGTGTTCTAAATCAAAAAATGAATCAAACCAAAACAAACAAATAGCTATTAATGCAGAAAAACATCCCTTAAAGTAAGAAAAAAAACATGAACTTCTGGATTTCTAGACTGGAATTTCTAGTATTACTGGGCTAGTTATTCTAAATCAATGCTAGCCATATACACTATTTCAACTAATCCCCGTGAATCAGAAGTACTTACTTTGGCAAAAGGAATCTGCTCTTTTGAGACGTGTACAGCTTCAACCCCTCAGGTCCACTATCCACTGTGATAGCGGATACACTGATTAAGAACACACTCCCTAACTGAAACTTAGCAGTTCCTGTAACTTTCACAACCTCTAAATTGTAATTATAGTTTTACACAATAGGAACCAGATGTTTTTCATATTATTTAGCTTTTTAGAATAATGAACCAATGCTGCATATTCTCTGAACAAGCACAGTTACCTCCTGCTCATCACAGACTCAAAGAAGGATTTTTGAAATTCCCATCCATTTTTTTCCCCTTACTGAACCAGTTGGTCTAACAGAGACTATCTCCTTCTACAGATATTTTTTCTCATTTTAGACTTTTTGGTTTTTATAGATTTTTTCAAAATGCCTCTCACCTCATGTGAGCAACTTCGTTTTCTAAATCTAGATTCTGTTTTCTTAGTTCTTCCAATTTTTTTTCAGTCTCTGAGGCTCTTACTCCAACAACATGGTCAACAGTGACACCAGTAGTTTTCAGTTTCTTCTGTAGAGTAATTTTCTCTTTTTCAGTCCTGCAACATCCAGTAACTTTACATTTAAAACTTCATTTGCTAACTTACTTCATTTAGAAGAAGATATTTTCTGTCTTAAAGAATCCACATTTGTGATGTATTTGCTCAGTGAACCACACCCCCTTGTCTGCTTAATAAGGTTAACTTACAGACAGTACAGCTTTACAAAAAAAACCACCTCAAAACCAAACCTGGAAAAAACAATGAACATTAAGTCAGTATCAGTCATAAACCACTTGCTGGTCTTGCCCATCTTTTGTGTGAAATTCATGTAAGACTTGGGGAGAATAAGTGCCATTTTGAAGCAGTTTCAAACCAAATCTAACAACAGCTACAATCACCATCACAGTTTCCTTTCTCTTCTGTGTCTTTTATCAATAAAACCCTGCCACTACTGTACTGAAGTAAACATAACATTTGCAGAGGATTTGCACGTGTTTTTTCTTAAAAGGCTTCCATCTCCTAATCCTAGAACCATCAGCACTGCAGTAGCACTACATATAGCAGAAGAACAGTGTCCAATCCTAGTAATCTAAGAAACAGCCCGTCTTCTTAAAGCTGTTTTTGTTCCATGGGCATAACAGAATGCTACATGCAAGAAGCATAATAAAGGACTTTAGTTTTATTCAGAGACAGTTTCTTCTAATAAAGCGTTGGCTTCTACAAGGGAGAAGGTACTAGAAGAATAGCCTCCTGCTTGAAAATTCACTAACCCTTTTAATCTCAATCACAATGTCAAATTCTATACAACAATCTTATAAACATAACAAACTTAAGATTTTTACATTACAAACATATTTGGATTTCCCTTATGTCATCATTTTGTAACTGAATCTATTAAAACAAACTCACTTGGTATAGATTTCCTTCAAAGTATTCAACTGTTTAGCTAAAGCATCTGCTTCTTTTTCCTTTTCCCTTAGCTTGTTCCTCAATCCTTCCATTCTTATTTGCCATTTTTTACTTTCTTCCCATTTGAGTATTCCCTCCTTAGAGGTCTGTGAAGCACAGAAACAAATTATGTGTGGTTTTTTTGATTTCTTTTAATTTAAAGCAAAATAAGCAAACATGTTAAAAGCCAGAAATGGTATATTCTTCATTTAACAGTTTAAAACATGAAGCCATAGCAGGCACATATTATTTACCTCATCTATCAAAAGGTAAATAGCAGGCCCAGCTGGGAACCTTAAGTATGCTGTGGAGACTCATGTAGTGCAATGTATCCTTTTACTCTGAATTACACATTAGTAAAGGTGACAGATTAAAGAAGTGTTTTCCTATGCCCACTTACAGCAGATCTGCAGCTCAACAGGAGTTTATATGCCCCTGCTGCACAGCTGTATAATTGGTCATCTTAGTTTATTTTTCCTATAAGAAATGGAATCTCTACTTAAAGTTATAATTCAGTAGCTGTAAATTATACATCAGATAAACCCTGTACCTGTGTGATCACGAATGGGTACTGAAAACCAGTCAATAACAATCAATATTTCCGTCAGCAGTTCTGAGGGTTTTTTAACTTGTCTTTTCCCTTTTTCAGTTAGCCCCTGTACTTTCTTTTCTGTCTTTGAGCATTTGACAGCATTTACGTAATTGATTTCACTGCTACCTATAAATGTTAGTTTTCTAAGACTTGTAATGGATCTTTAATTTTACAAGAAGGGCAGGAAAACATTAATATACCAGTACTAAGCAACAAGAGCAGTAAAAATAAAGAGCATGGGTAACACGGAGAAGTTACAAGAATGAAACTGCTTTTCTCCTGATAAAATTTAGTTTGGGTTTTTTGAGAGGCAGGTAGGGTTGAACTGCCTAGACCTCAGCTGATGATGTCATTCACAGCCACAATCCAAATATCACATACCTGGTCTTCTCTTACACCTTTTTTGTCTGTTTCTTCACACTTCTTATCAAGTTCACTTTCCAACCTCTTAATTTTTTTCTGAAGTGCATCTATCAGACTTTTTTCATCAGCTTTGCTCTGAAAAATTGCAAACTTTTACAAACTTCGATTTTAATGACCACTACCTATTTTCTCCACTCAAAAAGTAACGACTTTAATTCCAATTGGTAGAGTTAGTTTACAACCTAAATGATCTTTTTAGAATTATCTTTGAAGTATTAAAGTATTGGAATGTAACTTTGCATTCTAAACTGAATAATCAGCTGAATAAAAAAGATAAATTAGACAATTCTACTATAAATTCTTCACTTTTCTTCTGAAAGGGGAAATAAGAAAAGGAAAATCACAAAATTCCATTTTTCAAAGAAACCTTGAAAGTGGTGATTCAACTCCTCAGACTCTTTCAAACATTTCAAGGAGCAAGTATTCTTCAGTCTCTTCCTTCCTTTCATTTAAGGCATGCTTCAAACAGCAAAAGCTAAAAGCTCCCATGTAAGCCAGCTGATAAGCAAAAATAACATTTCAAATGCAGTATGTCTAAATGCCTGCCAAAAGTACTCGGTCTTATCCCCAAACCCAGCACATCTATGCAGAAACTTGACCAAGATTGAACACATTTTTAAAAATCACTCCTACCTGAATGTTACTGCTTAGCCTCTTAATCCGTTTCTTCAGTTCTTCATTTTCTTCTTCCAATTCACTTTTCTCTCTCAACATTTTAGCAAATGCTTTTTGTTTCCTCTGAAGTTCTTGGTTCAACTCATCCCTTTCATCAGACAAGGAAGTTTCCCTGGTTTTACTTGTTTTAAGGTTATCTGTAAGTTTTGTAATCTGATTATTTAATTCTTCTATCTGTGTCTAGAAGAAAACAAACAAACAAGAGAGCAAACCTCTCAGATCAGGATTATCAATAACACAACAATGCAATACAATGATATTACCTAGTACTCACCATAAGCGCCTTTGTCTGTCTGTCAACAATCTCCTGGACATTCATATATGCCTCTTTTTGTGATGCAGCAGAAATAATCTGCTGTTCAGCATTAGCAGTCATTTCTGCTCTGAGTTCCAGAAGTGCTTTACTCAAAGCCTGAAAACAGTAAGTTCAAGTTCTTTTAAGAATTTGCTAATATGAACATTACTAACCAAGAAAAGGCAACTGGATTTTACTACGTTACATTATGCAATTATATTCTCCTGCTGTACTATACATAGAATTCTTAAGCACTAAGCAACATTAAACATTTATATGACATAGGGATAAATTTTTTATTGACTAACTTTCTGCTGCTTCTCTTTTATGACTAACTGGCTCTTCAGCTGCTCCACCAGATTCTTCAGTGTTGCTGTGGGTGCTCTATTATTTGCTTCTTTTTGGACCTCTAGTTCAGCTTTTACATTTGCAAATTCCTTCTCCATCTGAGATATCGTGTTCCTCAATACATTTGCCTCATCTTTTAGTTGTTCCACATCAGCTGTGTGCTTTTCACAAAGCCTAATAAAAAATAAGCATTGATAGAGTACACTGCAGTAACAAAGTTATTTTTTATCATTGTTAAAGCAAATGACACTTTGATTTAGAAAGAGCAAGAAAAGACTGACTCACCAAAAAAAGCCTCCATTTAGTAAGAAAATTACTCAAGAAGATCAGGAAAATGAGATCAGAGCATTGTTCGTTCTAATTTCTGGCCTTTAGATGTAAAGAAAGCATTATCCTTTTCTCCTTTTAAACTGGGGTAAATTTTCATGACTTTATACTTGTTAGGCAGGTAAATTTTTCCCTACCAGGGAAAAAAAAACCCTGAACCAAAACACAAACCAGCAAGCATCACAGTAGCTTAAAGACAACTCTGATATCAAGACTCCTTGAATACTTTCTTTTCCACTGAATGGCACAAAGCTAACAACTGAAAGGCATTTTTCCAAGCCAAAGTTTTTCAGTATTAGCCCTGATGAAGGGCTAAAACCATAGTAACTCTTTTGAATTAGTTTTTCAGCCAAATGTTAAATTCAGCAAAAACATGTTCAATTTTAGACCAGTCCCGTAGCAGCAATACATAATTGATTTGTCCAACTTACATTAACACAGTCTAAAAACTTACTGGGCTCTGATAGTCTCAAACTCTTTGATTTTCATTGAAGTAATTTGTTTTTGTTTCTCCAAATCAAATGATGTTTTCTTTAATTTTCCAACAAGTGAAGCAAGAGAATTATCCTGTTCTGCTACAGTTTGCTCCACTTCAGCTAAGTGGAGAAAGCGTTTGTTGTTGGAAAGTGATAAAGAAGCCTTTGCTAACTCCTGTAAAAGAGAACAAATGCATGTGGTAACATTTTAAGCTTTAAATCAAAGGTAAGCATTACTGATGCATTTTAAACTCAATCCTGAATATAACCAAGCATTAATATCGAACGTGTTTATTTACTGAGATGTGTTTCTTAGTCCACAGAGAAAGCAGTCACTCTGGTTTGAAAAGAGCTCTGTGCATCTAATGATCCTCAGAATAATCAGTTAAATACAGCTTTCACTGTATCATAAAGTGTCAAGAAAAAATTTGTATCGAAATGGTTAGTTTAACATAAGCACAGACTGAACGAAAAGAACAGAAAACAAAATGTACTTCTCTCTCCTAGAAGTCTCCATAAATTAGGATGATACAAATAATGCTCATATATACTAAGGTGGCAACTTTGTTTTACATTTGATTTCTAATCCATCTCTCATGAATTTTCTCAAGAATAATACAATAATTCTGTATCAACCACCCATTTATTTCTCCTGTCATAATTCATTACTTACTTTTGATCGCAAAACTGTTCTTTTGGTCAACAATTTTAAAAATTTGGGAACAACTTTACTGATCACACTTACCAAAGCAGTCTGTTTGAATTTATTAAGGGAATTGTCAGCATGCAAATTTAACTTCTGGTGTAGAACTCTAAGATCTTCCTCATGCTTCTTTACTATTTCCTCTTGTTCCTGTTAGTTCAAATTAAAAGTATAACTCTACCGATGTACACTATTCCAGAAAGCCATGAAACTACAGTACCTTCGGGTTGATTGACCACTAATTGCTCAGTATTGCTCCCCAAACTTTCCTCTAATTCTGGCAGTTTAAAAAATTATTTTCTTCCTGCTATAATCACTTCTTTTTTTCTTTTTTAACACCATTGAAAAAAAAAAATCAATCTACTATTGCAGTTTTAATCAAAATAAGTAGTATGGTGCAACAGGACAGGAGCTGGAGAGCAGAAGAGTTGGTGTTGGTCTTCACTAACTATGACTATCAATACGGATAGTGATATCCATGCTACATAGTTCTCCATTCTATTTACTCTGGAATATATTGTGATTCCATGGATTGAATATCTGCTAGCAGACAGAGCACTCATTTTTAGACTGCATCTTCTGGTTTTGGTTACAAACAAACAAAAAAAAAAACAAAAAAAAAAAACAAACACCCCAAAAAGCCCCAAACTTGTTTTCTCCAGAAGTTAACAGCTACACACATTAACCAAAGCACATTAAATGAAGATGATTCGAAGTCTGCTTTGGAAGTGTGCTCCTGATCCAAACACTCTAAAATCGATGCATGTCTAGTCTTGAAGTACCTCTTAAGACACAAGGTTTATGCTTTAAGGATATAAAGTATGCATAGATACACTGATTATGCTTTTAAATATGCTTTAATTTAAAATACGCTTTAAGAAGCATATTTCCCATAAACGGATGTCTTTCACTAAAAATTCACTAAAAATGCAGTCCAGAGATCACTGTTGCAAGTACTGAAAATCCCATATGAAAATACAATATATAAACATATTGAAACCACTTCTAATAGCAGCATTTTAATTTTCTTCCTGTCACACTAATTTCTACACAGACATCATACACATGATGTCCCGACTGAGCAAACTCCTATTAAGGCGTTAAAAAATTCTACATGAACTTTCTACATAGGAAGTTACTAATTATCTCTGTTCTGTTACCTCTGAGGTCAGAAACTTTTTAAGATTTCAACAGCAATGACAGAAACAACGAATCAACTAAAATAGCATAAAAATGGAAGAAATTTTGTGCAAAAAGTTTAAGTACCTCTCTTGCTTTAGCAAGCCAATGTTGGTATTTTTTTAACACTTCCTCCTTTTGATTTAATCTTGCTTGCATATTTGCAATGGTTTGATGAGCAATTTTTATGGCAAGACGGTACTCTGGATCATCTTGTTTGCCTGATCCAGCCACTATTTTCTCTCTTTCTGATGTTGCAGGTAATCGAAGTCTTAGTTCATTTATAACTTTATCTCTTGATAAAATATTTTGTTCAGCTTTCCACAGAGCAGTTTCCTTTTCTTTTAATTTCTACAATGAAAGGCAATTGTTGCGTTTCCAGAATTCAAACACAGCAAAAAGACCTTACTTTTTAAAAACTGTACCAGAAGATTTGTCTAATCGGACTCACACACACACAGTGTTTTGCACTCAAATTCTGGCTGTATGGGATTACTATTACATGTTAAACATTCCAGAACATAATCGCTGTGCCTTTATGTGTTATTTGCTTGGCACAAGACACTTGATGCAATTCATTCTGTGCTACCAAATTAAGAAGCTGATGGTTTTCAAATTTCTTAAGAATCACAAAGTATCTTCTGTAATACAATTCCAATTTAGCAACCCAAGATAAAAAGATTTTGTTCTGCTACTTATTAAATCTAATGTAACACTTGTTAAATTGAATTGCCTATAGACAACTGAATTTTGTACAGCAAAGGCATCTTGTCCTACTAAATGAACAATATAAAAAATTAAGAAATTTTTGCCAATAATTTGTTCCATTGGAAAAAATGTTTCATTTTAGCCACAACATGATTATATTATTTACATTTTCTCAGTGTTAAATATTTTTAAGGGACTGGACACATCTGAGTGACATTTATAAAAGGATATTTATTATATATAAAAAATTAAAGGGCACAAAAATACAAACTTTGTCCCTCGATATGATAATTTAAACATTTAATTACCTCCTCCAGAGATCTGCAGGTTGCTCTGGTTTCCACGATTGTTCGAATATGCTCCTGTATTTTTCTTAAAGCCAATTCAAGTTGTCGTGCAAGCGGCAAACTAGAGTCTGGAACTGACCCCGTAGCCTCTTCTAACTGTACAGAAAGATTAACATTTGTGTAATCTGACAGCTCTGCAAAACATACTTCTAAGCATATTTTTAGTTAACTCACTGCATGTACCTTCAGAGCTGTGCTACGTGCCTCATTTTGTTGATGATCATACAGGTCTAATTGGCGCTGCAGTTCTACTTCCCTCTGGTCCCAAGCCATTTGCCTTTCTTCATGCAACTGTAATAAATGTTTGATAAAAGTGTTTTATTTAGTGAAGGGGATGGGAATTTTATAACCAACTCAAACAGAAAAAAAAGTGATACCAAAATGTAAAATACTCAAGTGTGCCATTAAAAAGAATTATGGAGCTAAGACACAAATATCTATGTTAAAAACTTACTAGGAAGAATCTTCCTTTTTAAAAATCACTTAGTAAAATAAGGAATAGGCTGTTTTTCTAATAGCATATGGAAAAACATACCTTGTTTTGCTGTACAATTTCTTCTTCCAGATTATTGATTGTACGTTCATATTCAGAAATTATATTCTGCAAATGCTTCACTTCTTCCTTTTGTCTGATTAACTCTCGATTGAGTTTAAGTTCCTGCAGATGGAGTTCCTCCATTTTCATATGCCATTCAATTACCTAATAATGAATATTACACAGTATTATAATTTACCAAGCCCACAGGCCAACTAGATACAGCTACACTCTATGACTTTGAGGCAGTATGTCACTTATCAAAACAACAGGAAAAGACATTCTGTGTTTTTAAATTTCTTCACTTCTCTTGAGTGAGCAGGCACAGCGAAAAGTATGAAACTGCAAAAGGAATGACTAAAAAGTGCAGGAGACAATAGGGGAGGCAACAGGTTTCCCATACACTGACATAAGTGTATTACAAATAATTTTCAAATTAACTAAACTATACCCTTTCATCTGTCCCAACTGAACAAAAAGAGCATGCAAGAAGTTTGGCTGATTTTTCTAAAACAGCACAAGATTTTCAAAACCATTAAAACTAAGTATTCAAAAATGTAAGTGTGCCAAAATAACAGACATATTCATGTCAAAATGCTCTAGAAAATTTATTGAAAACTGGCTCAAACATGCCAAGAGCACTACAACCATTGCTTACATGCAGACATCTTTAGTCATGACAGATATAACCGTATTATATAATATACAGTGATCTGAAAGAGAAGTGAGAAAGCCTTAATCAAATTTCAAGGCAACTTTGTTTAAATAGCAAAATACCATGAAGTAGAATTACAAGAGTATAACAACATTTCTGACCGTGCTGCCTAAATTATTGCCCCCGGATTTATTTAATAAGACGCAGATTTGTAGAGAAGATTTCAATGCAAGCTCATGGTAGAGCTTCAGAACGCTGCTCCTGAGTTTAATTTAATTTCATTTGTAATTTAAATTAATAATTTTACTCGATTTAATATAACTGAATTCATAGTTAAGTCTCTACTTCCTTTGCCACTTAATTGAGCACTAAAGAAAATCAGTAAATCTGACTGTGCCAAATTTAATAGGGCAAATAACTAACGATGTATTACTTTTTTAAAAGAGGAAACCAAAAAATGATAGCTGTCACATTGTAACAAAGTGTACTTTGAAATCATTAATTTCTACATTAAACCAGATGTTTAGGTAACAAGCTGAACTGAAATGGAATTTAGATGCAGATCAAATGAACCAAGTTATTCAAAGTTGTAAAATAACAAACCTTTTGAGCTCCTCTTGTGTCCTTCAATGCACTTACTAATTCTTCTAAACTTTTCAGTTTTAACTCCATCTCTAATGCTCTGTTTTCTGCATTTCGACGCTCCTGCTGAGCATGCTGAACTTCCTCCAGGATCTTCAGTTTGTCATTCTGTAGCTGAATCATTGTTTTAGAGAATTTTTCTTGCTGTGCTAAAGGCAAAGCACCACTAAATTGTCGACGCAAAGATTGAATTGTCTGTTGTAGATGTTTGGCTCTATTTCTTCCTTCCAGTCGAGCAAAATATAAGGCTTGCTCTCTCTCATCAAGCTTCTGCTCTAAACGTAGATTATGGATCTCAGTCTTCTGTAGTTTCAATTTAAGTGTCCCCAATTTGCCTACAGCATCAGATTCACTACTTTGAAGGGATATGAGCTGTTGATGTAGTTTTGCAATAACTGTTTTTTCATCTGACTGTGCCTAAGAACAAAATTTACAGAACAAATTTATTTTTCATTTTGAACGTTAATGCAGTGTATATGAAAATACAGCTATTTTTTACTATTTTCTATACAGCATGTATTTTATTCCATAGATAAAAGCAATAATTAGCCTCTAAATCCAGCTCTTTATTTTTCCACTGTTGTTCCTACAGCCACATTTTAGAATTACCAAAATACCAGGAAATGAGGAAGAAATGTGTATCTAAACCGAGAAAGTATGGTAACAAAAACTGACACCAAGTGTTGTATTTAGGAATTGAAACCATTCTAGAACATGAAAACAAATCTCACAAAATTATTTCAGCTAATAGCAAAGCAGTGTAGTAAGTCTACTGCAAATCTTCAAGATTTACATGTCATTGCTTGTCTTGTAAAAAAAGATCAAACTTTCCTGATATTCTATTTAAACACAGACCATGAGCTATTAATCATAAAGGAATAAATATCACCAAAATAACAGAGACAAAAAAAAAGCTCAGGATATCTAATAGCTGTACATCTAGAAATGGAGAAGGGAATACTCAGTGTAATACAGAACTCTTGAAAGGGTATGGCCACTATGAGGACCAGCTTGCCAAGATCCTTCTGAAATGCTTTTGCAGTTTCCTAGTTCACTGTAAAATTACCTGATTTCTTCACAGTCCCCGGG